TAAAGGCCGGCGAACTATTCAAAACCCCGGCCCCTTGGCCGGGTAAAGATACAAAAAGAAGCCAGCCATAAAGACCGGCAAAATATTCAGAGCCCCGGCCCCCTGGCCGGGTAAAGAAAAACAAACGGCACGCAGGCCGAAGAAGACAAAAGCTTAAGATGGGGGCAGGCCTTCAACAATAGCAGCTGCCGCCTGGTCAGCATTCTTCTTGCTTGACTCGGCCTCAGCTGCATCTTTTTTCGACGCACCTACCCCAAGCGGCACTAGGGCCACTACCGGATCCTCCTCCTCCAATGCCTCGTCCTCAGCAGCCGCCAGGATCTCTTGATTATATCTCTCGGAACACTGGCAGTACGTTTTTTCCCATGAGGCAAAGTCGGCATTTGGGAAAAGGCGGCCCCAGGTCAGGCGCTGGATTTGAGTCGAGTCTTCCATCATCTCTCGGACCAGATCCTTCTTTTCCTGCTCGGCCTTTGCCGAGAGCTCCTCAGTGAGACTCTTCTCTTGAGTCGCCAAGCGCTCCTTAACGTGTTTCAAGGATTTCTCCAAGGTGTCGTATGAGGTCATTTTTTGGCGAAGAGGTCTCAGCTCGTCCTTGAGATTGTTGATGGTCGCCTCCAGCTCATTACTTCTCTTCTAGGCCGCCTCCAACAGAGCCCGGATAGCAGAAGTAGCCTGCGCCTGATACTAAAGAATATCAGTTGTCAAAATCTCATTTTGAGCAATTTGAAACATTGCCTTATCACAGTCAGAGGCGGCCATAGCTTTAGCAGCCTTTACCTCTTTGTTCTTCCTATCAAGCGGCTTGCGAAGGCCGTTCACTCGGAGCAGATCCTGAGTAAAAGGAAACAGACGTCAGGTTTCAAACAAAAAACAGGCGTCCTGGAATTAAACAACAAAAATATGCTAAGTATACCTCGGCAAGGTGCCCTGCAATTCCGTCTAGGTCAAGGGTGCCGACACCCCTGACCGCCTCTCTCTCAGCCGGAGGGACGGCTTTGATCATAGACTTGGCCACCTCGACCAGGTCCGGTTCCTGAGGGCCGGCTGCATCAAGCATAAACAACAATGTTAGACAACGCACAAGGAAAGAAGGTTGAAAGCTGGAATGACAGTTTCATACTTCTAGGCGGCCTGCTTGGAGTTTGAGAAGGGGTGGCCGGCTGTTTCTCAGCCGCCGCATTTTTCTTGGCAGTGCCAGGAGAGCTCGCAACAGTCGTCCTCCTGGTCTTGGAGTCCGGCTGTTGGGAGGAGGAAGTTCTTGGTGTGCCCGTCTAAAAAAAAAAAAAAGAGAGCACACGGTCAGTATATGAACCCAACCTCAAACACAAAAGGGGGAAAGGGTGAAAAGCTTGGAACCTACCAAGGGCGCCTCCTTGTTAGGGGAGTCGGCAGAAGATTGTTGCATGATAGTAGCACGCAACATAGCAGCCGCAGTTTTTGAGGCGGTAATTTTGCTCATGGCGTCCGCTGCAGAAATAGATACCAAAGTTAAACAAAAGATAATAACAATAAATTCTGCAAAAGAGCGTATTTTTCAGGTCAGCTACCTCTTGAGCACCGACTGCTGAGGCCATAGGCGGCCAGAAAGTACTCGTCATAGAGCCATTTGAAGCTCGGGACGCAGTGCAGGGGTACTTGCTCTCGTACCCCTGTAGTAGAGTCGACCCTCGTCTCTACTTTAAAGAGTCCTTTGTCCAGGATCTCTTTCTTAGCTCTTGGGGGAACAAGCGACATGCTGCAACCGCCTGCAAGAAGAGGCGGATCTCTGTTCCATCTGTTGAAGCGCTTGTTCAGCTCCGTGTCTGAACTCTCAATGATAAGGAAGGTGCTTCTCCAATCCTTCCATTTGTTCTCTTTACCTCTTGTCATGAGGTAGCCACGGTGGCTCGTCAATTGGTACCAGCCGGTACCGCCTGCCTTAGGGGTCCGACTGAGATAGTTCATGTGGGCGAAAGCCTCGAAGTTTGGCTCCACCCCGTGCAGTTCGCACCCGGCCACATAGCCGAGAACGTTGAACCAGGAATTTGGGGCTAACTGCCATAACCCCAACTCATACCCATCCAAGATCCGTTGAACAGCCGGATGTAGGGGGAAGCGCAGCCCAGCTCTGATGGCCGCCTCATAGCAGCCAAAATAGGTGCTATCGTAGCTGGTACCAGTCGGCCAGACGACCGTGTCCTCTGGGTCTGGCACAAAAACTAAAAAGCCAGGCCCCATTGTGTGGTTCGCAATAAAGCTCCCCACTTTCTCTTGCATGGCCTTGATCCGGCCGTTCGGAACTGTGCAGTAGTAGGGGGTGTTTTGTTCTCTATAGGAGGCGGATGGCTCCGCCCAATTATCTCCTTTCTCAACTGCGTGAGAAAGCCTCGCCTCTTGTAGGCGGTTGTTTTTCTCTTCTGTGTCTAGAGAAGCATGACCAGAAGAACTAGACTCGGACTCGTCCTCTGAAGAGTCCGAAGAGGACGACTCCTCTCCTCTCCCAGAGGGGCCCGCCTCCTCTCCTTCAATAGGAGCAGGAGAAAATGTAGACATGTCTACGGTAAAATGGGAGGGTACCACCTTGACCCCTCCCTCAGAGCTGTCGGCGGTCAAGCCGCCTTGGTTCACTTCAGCATCTGGCGCCTGGTCAGATGTCTCACTAATCGGCACCTGGTAGGAGGAGCCGTCTGAGTTTGTGATCCTAGCAGTTCTTTTTGTTCTGGCCATTATGTTCTGCATAGACACAGAGACAGTCGGACTTTGTATAAAGGGCAAAGATTGGTTCGGAAAAGGGCAGGCGGCACTCCTAGTCCTAGATTCAGCCGTCCCCGGTGACCGGCTGATCACTAACCTAGGTCGTGTCGTGTGCTTCCGTGGTGCCATTTCAAAAAGGAAAAAATAAAGAAAAATTAAGAGTGAGAGAACCGACGGTTACCTGAACGAGAGAGAAGTTGACGAAGTTCTGAAAATTCTGAGAAAACGACCGACTTGTCAGAGCAGGCGGTAGGCAGAAAGTATCCGGAATGTCAGAGCAGGTTCAGGGGTCCGAATGCTCTCTTAAAAAGTTCTCAAGTGTGAAAATGACTGAAGTCAACACACCCTTATATAGGCAAAATGAGAAGGCGAAGGATCACTCCCAAATTCAAAATTTGAGCGGGAAACCTCTCGGCCTTTCATCAAGTGACACCTGTAGCAGGCCGTCGCCTGTTACGGTGCGACACCTGTCACAGGTAACACGTGACTAGTCACGTGCCACCTGTGAGGGGCAAATGATTAGGGAATTTTTATCCACCAATCACCATCTGACACGTGGACCAACCAGGTTCCGCCACGTGTCCTACATGTAGGCCAATAGGAGCCTGCCACGTGTCAAGCAGAGATGCGTCCTCCATGGACCAATTGTGACGCGACACGTGTCCACCCATGCTAAATGGGAAAGCCGGCCAACAAGGCCCAATCCTCGTGGGAGGCCCAGTCAGTTCTAGGTATAACCTAAACCTAGGAATTGGCACGCATCCCAAAGCATATAAATATGCTCATTAATCCTCATTAAAGGGGATTACGCACATTAAACACTCTCACCTAGAGAGACTCAATTATATTCCGCATTAATTACTCCTTAAACAAGTACTAACTTGACCGTTGGAGGCGGATCTCCAATCATCCGGAGTATCCGTTTGTTTTGCAGGTACAGGCGTCCGGTTCCAGTCTCGGAATTGTAACTCTCCCGCAGGACATCAGAAAACCCCGAAACACTGGCGTTTCTGCCAGACGCCGCCTTAATTTTTTTTTTTTGCCTTTTTTTTTTATTTTGTTTTTGTTTTTTTAAAAAAAAATGAAAATCTTGAATTCCATTAAAAGCAGTTTTTTTTTTCTAAATTATGTTTAATAAATTTATGTTTTGATTTAGGATGTGGAAATTATGTTTTTTATTTGATTTTATAAAAAATATATATACTAACACATAAAATTATTTAAAAGTAACACAAATTTTCTGATTTTCCAAAAAAATAAAAATAAAAAAAATATATATAAGGCGGGTGGGGCGCCTGGCCAGAACGCCCACCCACTGGCGGTGTCTCCAGATCCGGCAGCCATAGCCAGTGGGCAGGCGCCTGGTTTGGACGCCTCTACCGTTGGCTGGGCTTCCAAGCCACACGCCACGCCACCGACACTGGCTGCCGGAGCTGGTGCCACCGCCAGTGGGTGGGCGTCCTGGCCAGGCGCCCCACCTTCGCCGCTTATTTTTTTTTTTAAAAAAAATAATATAAATAATGACCTTGCCACCAAGTTGCCGCCTTTCCTCCGTCGCCACCTCTTTCCCTTGCCGCTTTTAGAGAGATGTAGTGAGTGGTTTTTGTTAAAAACGAAAAGGGCAATAAGGTCACTTCAATACAAATTTGTGGGCTTTATGTGGAGATTTGCGGGCGATGTTTAGCGATTCAAAAAATCTACGGTCAACATCTCATGTTTTCAGTTTTCAGCTTAAGGCTGGTTTTTACATGTTCCAACTCATATATATATATATATATGTATATATATATATATATAATCTTAATATTTAGGTGTATGTATTCGTTTTTATTTTCTCATAAATTGATTATTATATCCCTAATCTAAACTAGAGTATATTTTATTAAAAAAAACTTATAACATTGTGTTATCTTCACTTACTACTTCTGTAATATATATAAAGTATTATGTAAAGTTTATTAATGCTATACAATTTAACAATTTAACCTTTACTTACAAAATAAAGTGATAGTGTAAAAGATGTTGGTTTTACAAAATTTAAACTAAAACATTTAACAGCGGTTGGTGGAATGAAGAAGATGTGGATTATGCGGATGCAATTGGTGTAGCTTGATGGTTGGTGTAGATCTGAGACTCTGAGAGTGAGTTATATGAGATGAATAAATGAGAGAGAATAATGAATGCTCTAGAATGGTGGACAAATGATCAAACTCGATCAAAGAACTAGGTTTTCGTTTTTTTAAAAAAATATAATAGCAAGTTGGTCGGCTGGTTTTGACCGGCAAATTTACGGGTTAAATGAGTTCAAATTAAAATGAATTTTGGGTAAAAAAATGTTTTGTTCAAGACCTAAAAAAAACAGGTTAAGTTCAGATCGGATGAATTAAAATTGGGAGTTCTACTTTCACTCCTTTTTTTTCCCTACAAACTTAACAATTATACTTATAAAGGATTGTTCCCTAAAAAAAAAAAATACTTACAAAGGATTGTACAAAAATGGGACAAAAATGACTAATGAGTGACTAACGGTTGAAGTTGGAGAACCACCACAGCAGTACAATGCGGTGGAAAACTACTTTAAAGTTTCCCTCCAAGGCCGCCAAAATCTCCCTCCTCCTCATCACCGCCACTGCCACCGGCACCGCCACTGTCGACTCTTTCCCACTTTTCGACTCTTCTTCCCGTGCCATCACCGCTTTCTCCGATGATTTTCGTGCTCCTTTTTTTGCTTTTCGACGCTCCTCTTACACCTTCTTTACGGTCCGAATTATTTATTTATTATTATTCATTACAATTTGGTCACTTTGAATTCTGGCTCAATTGATTATTCTGTTGTGTTTCTTGTTGATTTTGCAGATTGCTTCAACTATATTTGATTACAAGTATTCGATTTATGGGCTAGCAAAGGGTTCGGATGAGTATCGACATACAATTTCTGAGGTAATTTACTGAATTTTTGCTTTCTTTTTTGGCTGTCGCATTATTTTTGAATGTCCTACTTTTTAAACTTTTAATATACAGAGTACTTTGTTTCAATGTCGGGTTTTTGTGATGTAACTACTCCTTCCGTTCCTATTTTTTTTTTGCCCCATTGCCAATATTTGGGTCAGAAAACTTTGACCATAAATTTCCGGTAATTTATAAGAGATTATATGTTCAAGTGGGATTTTGTTGGATGCCATATTGTATACTCTATTGAGGTCAAGTTTTATAATTTTTAAGCTTATAGAATTGAAGATATATAAGTTTTAACACGTGTCTCGGAGACCGTGATAAGTCAAATGGGGTAAAAACTAAGGGACAAAGGGAATAATAATTAGCCCGTGCAATTCACGGGTTAATTTTGGTTGTTCAAATGCATATTGGGATTGTATTCGATTAAATTTAAGGGAAAAAAAAATGTGTGTATATACAAATTGTATTGTAGTAGTTGATTAAGCCTAGTGCAGGGAGTCAATCTAATCTAAACCTGGTTAAAGAAACTATAGTACTATAGCACTATAGATGTAAAACAGAAGAAGGAAGCCTAGTGTAGGGAGTCAATCTAAACTTTGTAAAAGAAACTATAGCACTATTGCAACAATGTTTTTGAACAATAATATCCTTAAATCATAATACAAAAACCTAAGATTAAATACTCATCAAATTCACCACAATAAAACTAAGTATGAATATAGGATATGGAGATCTTTATTAAAATATAAAACTATAGATATGAGAAAAACATAACTTTAATTTGGTGAAACTAATCACAAATAGGGAGAAATTAGTATAATTAATTGCAAGAAACCTAGGAATTCATTCTCGACGATTTGGTTATGGCTCATATACACCAAGATAATTGATTTGGAGGGAGAAAGAAAAAGAAATTTAACTTGTAAAAGATGAAGGAAATTGAGAAAGAAAAGAAAATGGGAAGAGGAGAAGACATAATACAACAAATAAGGAGTATTAGGAGTTTTTTTAAGGTGAAACGACGAATATGAAAATGTAATAATAAATAAAAAGGAAAGGAATTAACATAAAAGTAGAATAATAAGAAGGGGACACATGACACTTTATATTGCTTGTAAATGTTCCTGTTTTTAAATAGTATAATCTAATTAATTTGTGTGATTTTTTATTAAAGGTTTTTTTTATAATTTTTATTACTCTATACGTCCCTTCCTGTTCTTTCCATTTGTAATCTTGACACTATTCATAAGGTGGGAAAATCTTCTAGATGACTTAATATATAAAACATAATATAGTCATGTTAGGTCTTATTTCATTCGTTTTAATGAATAATATATTAATATTCAATTGTTATATTTTTCACTAATGAGCATCTAATGATATTTATAGTCAAAGTTTTGCATTAGCAAACGTGCATAGTCAAAATGAGAGGAATATTTGAGGATGGAGGGAGTAGCATTTAATGTAAGAGATTTGGGTGGTATTGGTTTGAGCGCTGAGTGCATAATACTCATTACTCATCGATGAACATAAAGACCTATGATACTCGGACTCTTCATTTTACATCAACCTTGACACTCATACATGGCCGAGTTTGACTAACATAGATAAAGACTATATTAAAGAACATGAATAAAATTAACATACATTATTGGGACTAATTCAACCAAAAAGTAACATGAATAAAAATCAACATACATTATTGTTACAAGACGAACTCAATCAAAAGGTTAAGCTAAGTCCAAGATTGTTTTATGTACTCTATACGCCCCCTTACATGAGAGCCTAAATGAAATGTGAACATACTCTCATTTGGATGTAGCATGGGCCTCTCCAAACCCAATGCTAAACACTTCCTCCGTTTTATTAGTTAACATACTTTGACTTTTGCACTATTTAGAAACTACACTGATTAAGTTTTGTGATATATAACTACGATAAAGTATAGTCATGTGAGATCTTGTTTGATTTGTCTTAATGTAAATTTTAGTAATATATCTTTTATAATTTTACAATGTTAATAATTAGAGCTATTAATCGACAATCACTTAAATTGTGCATTGGTAAGTGTGAAAAAAAAGGTTTCAACTAAAGAAAATCGGAGGTAATATACGACTTGGAAGGATGAGTAAATGAGACTTGAACCCATGACCTTATTGTCACGCTAACTCTTGATACTATGTTAGAGGATCAACTCAACTCAATTGTTGGTTGAAGCCCAAGGTTAGTTTGTGAACTCTGTCAAATTGTCAATAATGGCTAAAACAAAAGAACATGAACCCTTGAAGAACATAAGGGTTAAAATAAGAGAATGTAAACCATAAAAGAAATGAAGGATGTATAATTTAGACCTATAAGCACGTCTAATCTCTATGCATAAAAAAAAATAAGTAAACGACTATATTGTTGGTAAAATAACTTAAGACATCAAGAAATTTTAAAGTAAAAGACAACTTTAAGGATTTGTAGATCTCGGTATGGAGAATACTAATGGTGATTGCACACAATGTTCAGCGAAATTCTTGCACTCGAAATCAATGGGTGGAGATCCCAAAAGGAACAATGGGTTTGTGTTTAGAAATGGCGACGGATCGGATTTAGGTCGGATGTGGCTAAATCCGAATTCGATCCGTTTAGTAAACGGTCCCTAGACTCGAATCTGAATCTGAATCCGAATCAGAAAAATCCGAGTCTGAGTTCGATCAGACTCGTAATTTTAGGATCCGAATCCGGTCCGTTAATTCGGATCTCCGAATGATCCCAATACATTTTTTTTTTTTGTAATGTATGGTGTACCTATAATTGCTTGTATTGTCCCTTATTTCTTATATCATATTGGCGCGTACAAATTTAGAAAAAAAATAGGATATAAAGTCTAAACATAACATATTTAAATTATGAATTAAGTTACATCACAAAAATTTGCTACAAACAAGCAAGCAATTGTCCCAAGTTATAACACATATCCTCATACACGAACTCGAACTCGAACTCGGTCGGACTTTGCGCAGGGTCTAAGTCCGATCCGCTTCCTATTCGGATTCAAATATATTTTATCAAATTCGGATTCGGACTATTTTTAAACGGATTCAGATCGGATTTTTTTTTCCTTCGAATCGGGTCAGATTCAAATCGAACTCGGATTGAATTGCCATCCCTATTTGTGTTTGTAGTGTTTAAGGTTTCATAGCAATCTTCAATAAAGTATTAAGGGCTATAACTATGCTGCAACTTGTTGGAGCTAAGAATGCGAAAGCAAAGAAAACGTTTGAAACAAAACTACTGTATTCTCATTCGTTCAACAAATGGAAAGTCAGGCCATATAAATAGCCTTAACAATTACAAGTGAAACTAATTAGCTAAAATTAACAACTAACAAGAAAATAGGTACTCCACTCACATAATCAAATCTTAGCTAACAAGTCCAAAAACACCACTAACAATAATTTGACACATGATTTAATTAATTTGACTAATTCTCAATAAAACTAAGATATTTATCCTAAAACTAAGGAAGCTAATTGACTTGTTGATGCACTTCTCACTAACATACTCTTTGGATATTGGAGCACTTCTTTCCATGGTGCACTTCTCACCCATAACTCTAAAATAAGTTCTCTTCCACGACCACTTATGCAATGGTCTCTTGCTCTTCATCTTTGGACTTATAATTCCTTGTCATATGCCAAAATTTTTGACAATCAAAACACTTAGGTTTCCCCTTATGCTAACGATCTTTTTCCTCATGACCAATTTTGTGACAATTGTTGCATTGGAAGGGCTTGCCTTTCTCCTTTTGATTAGAAGACTTTGCTATAAAAGCTTTTTCACTCATGTTTTCACCATCTTCATTTCTTATGGTCCTTCTGTGATCCACCGCATGTAGTGAAAATGTTTGCTATGACAAATCTTTGGTATCTTCAAGTAAAGAAATTTTACCTTCATACTTTTCTGGAAGAGTGACAAGAAGTTTGTCCACCACTCTTTTCCCATACATTTTGACACCTTCACTACCTTTCATCCTCATCATTTCAAACTCTCTTTTAAGGTTCAAAATTTGCATAAGTTTGGTTTGATGGTTTCCTTCATACTTCTCCTTAATCTTTTCCCATTCTTCTTTAGGAGTATCATAACCGATTGTAGACACGAAAGTGCCTGTGTTATTTTTGCCGCATCCTCATCATATTTTTTGATTGGGGCAACAGTGGGATTTTGTGAAAGAGGAGTTGGATAAATATCACTCTCAATTGCTTCCCACAAACTCATGACTTTTAAGTATGATTTCATTTTGATAGCCCATTAATATAATTATCTCCTTTGAATGTGGGAATGGAAAGTGAAAAATTGTTTGAGGTAGACATTGGAAACTTATTTATGGAGGAACTCTCATGAATTTTTAACCTCACAAGCCTTAAGGATTAAATGACTCTTGATACCAATTTTGTTGGAGCTAAGATTGCAAAAGCAAGGAAAATGTTGGAAACAAAACTACTGCATTCTCATTCATTCAACAAATGGAAAGTTAGGCCATTTAAATAGCCTTTACAAGTTAATTAGCTAGAATAAAGCAATTAATAAGGAAATAGGTACTCCACTTACATAGTCAAATCTTAGTTAACAAGTCCACTAACACCACAAACATTTATTTAACACATGATTTAATTGATTTGACTAATTCTTAACAAGCTTAGATATATCCTAAAACTAAGGAAGCTAAATAACTACTAACTTGAAACACTAACTTCAACACAACTCACATGGTAGCAATAACATGTGAGCTACAACTTGCACTATCCGCACTTAATATTGCCTAGTAAGCGATGCAATTGCTCGATAATAACTTCCTCCGATTTGCATTACAACTTCAATAATCCCCTGTGCAAATGGATTAGAAAATCATGAATTGTGAACAAATAGTATAAGAAAAACTAGGTTCAATAGGCGTTAGTATCCATAGGTTTGAACTAACACTTAGTGAAGTGAGATATTCAACACCTACATAGTGAGTATCTAAAAGAAAGAACCTCATAACACATACCCCGCATTTAGAGCTTGAACATCTCCGCTATAGTTCTTTTTGACCAATTCGTTGGCCTCATGAGTGCTTTAAGAAGACAATAAACAATCTTTCTTAGAAGGAGGCCAATACTTCGCACTCACGTAGTTAATTTCAACCCCATCACCCACTTAGGTATCCATACCCATCTAATTCTCATTATACCTACCCCACCACCTTCTTTACCCATTCCAATATCCACTTCACATGTCAATTTATGTTTTAATTTCAACACATATAATTACATTAAAGTAAAAACGTAATAACTTGATGTAGTTGAAATATGTTCATTTAAGTTATAGACTTTGTTTTACTCCGTAATTTTTTAAAAGCTATTGCTTTGTACATCATAAAATCCACACTCGCCCCACCACCCATGACAAGTACGCTTTTTATTCCCATCCTGCTCTATCACTTTTTATCCCCATCCTCGCCCCACTACCCACCAAACCTTCATCCATCCCTGTCTAAATGGGGTGGATTTAGGGTGGGTCTCCTTTTAAATTCACCCCACTCGCATCCCTATTTTCATCTATCCCAACATAGTTTTTACAATTCTACTTTAACAAAGGCTACATTATTATTATAATACCTTTTTTTTCCACTACCAATAAGCTATCACTTACATTCAATATCAAAATACCCCACAGTCTCCTATCACATTAACTTTTCAATGATTAATGCCCTCGCCTTTGCTTTTCCAAGAAAATAACAATTAATATCCAAACAACTACTAATTATCTAAACTTATGTGCCGTTATAAGCGTTGATCGAAGATGCGATGAGGGTTTAGATGATTAAATTTCGCAATTTGAGAGATTATTTGAGACCAGAAATTATTAAAGTAACAACAAGATTTCTGTTTGCTCCTTTAATTGTAATACTTCAAGGTTTCATTTTTATATGTCTTTGATCATGGTTGAGTCTTATCTTCATTTCTTTGGTCTTAAAAGCTATGTGGGTATCACGATGGAGGTTTTGTTTGACTTCTTCATTGTTAGTCTACGACAAAAATGTGATCCAATTTACTTGACTTTTGCTTTATGGGGCTTTGAGCTTTGATGGGTCTACATTTGTAGATTAAGTATGGTGTAATTTTAGTGAGCTCCTTGTAGGAAAATGGACTTGGTACTTTGGTAGTGTGAAGGGGATTAGCATCAATCTTTGTAAGTCTGAAGCTTCATGGATATCATCATGAAGCTGTATAACATTTTGGTGTTAGTCACTTGCCTCCCAACCAAAGTTACTGATTTGAACTCTTTTTTTCTAGTATTTACGTCATTATGATTTTTGATATTTTTAATGACATAAATCAAACAAGAGACTCATAAGAATGTGTGTTTTGATTTTTGTATTCTCAATTCAGGTTCATCTGCGCTCTGCTAAGAGAATATTAAAGTTGTGTGAAGATAATAAAGGGTTTTATGTGAAAGCTGGTCAGTTTGCGTCATCTCTAAGACAGCTCCCAAAGGAATATACTATGACACTTTCTGTTTTACAGGATAAGGTTTGAGTCCAAATTTATTTTTGTTTTGAAATTTGTTTTTTGAATTGATTTCCTGCGTCCTTCACAAAGACTTTTTGTATGCAGTCATGCACTTTATGTTGAATGCTAACATTTTTTGTTGATATCTAGGCAGTTCCTTGTGATTTCAATTTAATAAAAGAAGTGATCTGTAGAAATCTCAGTTCTGAGATTACTGATATGTGAGTACATACCTGAATTGAATTTGATACTTCATTTGCTCTTGTTGGAAACTTAATATGCCATACAGCTATATATCCTGTTCATCAGCACTCAAGCTCTCTTTGTTTTTATCTATTCTTTTGGTAAGAAAGTTGTCCTGTTTATGTGAAAAGGGAATGCAAAGCTGTGAATTATATCATTAGGAAGCAGTACTGGAATGGCTTGACAATTTCTAGAAGAGAGCGCAACAGGGATGAATCTTATTAGTCTTCTCTTACAATTTCTTCTACTTCATTCTTTAATACTTGCACCATTTGGACTTTTAGGCTATTCACAATCTTTTTGTCTATTGTATAATCATTTGGGATTTTATTAGATTTGGGATTTTGGGGTAGGGGCAGACCTTAGAAATCTTGGAAGAGGGTGATTGAGAGTGATATGAGTGCTTTTGGATTGAGGGAAATATGGTGTTGCATGTACTCTTTTTTTTATTATTTATTTATTTTCCCCTTTTTCATGCACTTATTATTTGTGCCACACTCAATTTATTTTTTGTACTTTTCTCTCTTTTTAATGTACTTCATTTACTTTCTCCTCACATTTCTTAATTTCTGTGAAATTTGGCAAATGGGAAAAATATATGGGATGTAGGGAGTAGTATTTACTTTTTATTAACTTAACTCGTGTTTTGCAAATTTTACTGATTTCTGTTGTTAATGTTTTTTCAAACCTGTATTTTTTTTATTACTAACATGTTTTTCCTCTCCTTTTGTATCCTCCTATCACTCTTTTAAAATTCTTGTAAATTTTATTTGTATACTCTATCTGGTTTTCACTTTACACATTTTTTTTCCGACTTTTACTTAATCGATAATTTTGCTATGCTCTTTTTCCTCTTCGGAAGGTTGCTTATGACAATTCATGTTAGATAACCCATAATCATTTTGGGACTAAAGCTTGGTTGTTGTCGTCGTCATCGTCGTTGTCTTGATATATATGCTTTTAAAACACATTAAGTTTTTAAAATTTGTACTAATATATAATTAAAGATATTCGCGGCCAAAGTTAAACAGTGGTGAGCAGGAAATTTCAAATGGTGCCCGCCCCCCCCCCCCCCCCCCCTTTTCCCCACTTTAAGAAAAAACAGCAATGGATATCACTAGTACTGTTCTGTAATCTGGTTAAGTAGATAGGATATGGGCATGCATTAATGGATAGACAGGTGTATGACATATTACATGCAGGAGACTAGTAATCCATTATAAAAATAACTTGATTAACTTCATTTCCAGATCAAAAGGCCTTTTTAAACAATAAAAAGAAGTCACTCGATCCCAAACAGTAATAAAGTCACTTGATTCTAAAGTTGGCCCAAAGCTAAACATGAACACAAGAAGTTTTAAAAGAATGTATATGTCCATATGGCTAATCAATGCATCAACTTCATGGATATGATGTTATCCCTGTGAATATACTATCGAAAATGACACATCTAGATTTAACTAGAACTTCATTTGCTAGGAAGGGTGGTGGACGTATAAAAAAGATAAATTAAAAATTGAGGCAGATATGACAATTTTAATTTGAAATAGTGCTTTTTCATAGTTCATTTCGGTGAAATATGGCCTGAAGGTCTTAGCAACAGAATGCATTATTGAATGTTGAAAGATTTAATTTTGTGGTTTTAGTGCTCAAACATTAGAGATTTTAAAGTTCAAGTGTGCTAGAATAATTTTCTGTGGAATGCAAATATATTATCCATTGGGATCCTTCTAGTTGTCAAACTCACTATTGCACTCATGCGTCTTTCAGGTTTCTCTTTTTTGACGAGCAACCACTCGCTGCAGCTTCAATTGCTCAAGTTCATCGTGGTGTCCTGAAAAGCGGGGAGGAAGTTGCTGTGAAGGTCAGTCTTGTGTTTCTTTCATACCAGGATCTTGTAATATGTAGGGGCAAATTGAGGAATTGATTTTTAGCGTGACTTAAAATTACAGAAGAAACTAAAAGTCATAATATTCAAAATGTGCATGCATAAAGTTCAAACCAAAATCAATCTCTGTTTGTGAAGAAAAAAAACTTGACCGAAATTATAACAATTGTTTCTAATGATTTTTCATAATTTTGTTTAAATTCAATTCATAAGTTTATTTTTAGGCTTTTGAAAATTTCAGAATAGTAAAGTATTGGTTAAAATTTGCAACCAATCAATGCATCCATACATCCACATAAGCATATTGTTAAAGTACATATGAAAGTAGTGAACGATTGATTCTAATTTCTGAGTATATGAAAGTAGTGAACGATTGATTCTAATTTCTAAGTATAGTTACATTACAATCTTTTACATATTATCTTATACTTACATTACATGATTACAATCCATTAAAAGAAAGACATTCTAATTTTTTGCATTTATATTATATTTCCTTCACTATACATCAAGAATTTGATTTGAAGATAATATACAAAATGGGTGTTCAGCACTGAAAGAAAACCACCATGAAGATCTTATTTAGTAAAAAAATTATAACGCAAACATGTGATGTCTCCCATAGGGAAAGGAAATTCTATCGATTGATTCTAATTTCTGAGTATATGAAAGTAGTGAACGATTGATTCTAATTTCTAAGTATAGTTACATTACAATCTTTTACATATTATCTTATACTTACATTACATGATTACAATCCATTAAAAGAAAGACATTCTAATTTTTTGCATTTATATTATATTTCCTTCACTATACATCAAGAATTTGATTTGAAGATAATATACAAAATGGGTGTTCAGCACTGAAAGAAAACCACCATGAAGATCTTATTTAGTAAAAAAATTATAACGCAAACATGTGATGTCTCCCATAGGGAAAGGAAATTCTATCGATTGATTCTAATTTCTGAGTATATGAAAGTAGTGAACGATTGATTCTAATTTCTAAGTATAGTTACATTACAATCTTTTACATATTATCTTATACTTACATTACATGATTACAATCCATTAAAAGAAAGACATTCTAATTTTTTGCATTTATATTATATTTCCTTCACTATACATCAAGAATTTGATTTGAAGATAATATACAAAATGGGTGTTCAGCACTGAAAGAAAACCACCATGAAGATCTTATTTAGTAAAAAAATTATAACGCAAACATGTGATGTCTCCTATAGGGAAAGGAAATTCTATCAATTTTTGCTTAATCTTAAAAAAAATTATCTCAATAAATGAATGATGTCAACGGGAGTCTCTATAGATGTAGTGTTAAAGCTACAATCTGTCTCCAAATTGATAAAATATTGTTGATGCTATAAACTATCTAGGTGATTAAGGATATCCTTAGGCGAAAATACTAATACCATCAATGAACATGGTAAACTCCTCTATTGTGATTGTGATATGATTGTTGTGTGATGCCTTAGAATTGACATGCTGGAGAAGAGGGTGGATGGAGCCAAGACCATTAGCTTGATCTTGGAGGCTGAGTAGGGACTATATGGTGTTAACCATCATAGAGGAAGGCACCAAAGGGGTAGCGTATTTATATGGAATGACACCCATCTTTAAAATTGTCTTAATGTTGAGAACTTGGGGAAATGACAAAGCATTTAAATTTGAAGCATCTAAACGAGTCTTAGTAGTGGGTAAAATAACATGAGAATGGGGGGATAATCCTTTTCCTTTCCTTTATGACTTACCACTCATACATGGCTGTGTTATGTGCCAACAACCCACCATATCGTTCCATGCTCACAAGATCAAGGAGGGAAAATTTGTGCAACTTCTTTAAAGAGGTCATGTCGATCCCCACGTGCTTAGTAAAGATGGTATGCTAAGCGAAGAAGTTCTCTATCACTAGTTTTAAGTTTGACTTGTGTTGAGAAGGAGGTTGATTACTGAAGTGCTAACTAAGTGGGTAATAGTTATAGTTATTGCAATCCATCATTAGTTAAGTTCGACTTTGGTTGAGGAGGTGTTAATTGTTGATGATCAAATGATGCATTAATTGGAAAAGATCCTTAGTGTTTTTTTACGAGAGCCAATGATGATTCTTCCACCCATATTGTATGTGTTGGGGTAAGGATTATGTTGTCTCTTCCAAGCCGCATTTTTAAGAGCATTGGCTTGTTCAATTGCTTTGTCATCATCGTTAGTAAGACATTCTATCACCCCACATATCTGATATGACGCTACCGTAGGTGACCTAGCTTGGAGTTGATCAACCTTTTGAGTTAGTGCCTGAAGTGTGCTAGCCAACATAGTTATTGCATGGACATCTTCTTTACCTCCCTTTTATAGCAGTATGTGGATGGTTGGATGCTTGCTATCCTTGGTTGCATCTTCTTAATTTGTTCCTTAGCATCAGTTGTACTCCTTCTGTTTTTAAATACTTGCTCCATTTCTCCATGCGCGGAGTTTTAGGAGAAATTGGAGAAAGTAATAAAATATGGAGGTAGTGGGGTTGGTGGAAAAATAAAAAATTGTAAAAAGCAAAAGTAGTTGAGAGGATTGGAGGGGAGAGAATATGAAATTAATAAAATATTATTTATGTTGGGTCCACTAGTTTAGAGAAATGAATTAATTATTGTAAAAGCTTTCCAAATAAGGAAATGGAGCAAGTATTTAAAAACGGCCGCAAAAGGAAAGTGGAGCAAGTATTTAAAAATGGAGGGAGTATTCTTTTCCATGATTGAACACTCAACATAACATCACCATATTTTATCAACATTTGGGATCCCATGATGAGAGCATTCTCATTAGAATTTCACTGAGAAGGAATTAGCCAATTTGTCCCAAGTATCAACCTTTTATCACAAATATATCTTTTCTCCACTCTTTTGTTCTATTCGTAGAGGGAAATATAATAGGTAAAATCTGATTGCAAATTCAGAGACGTTGTTAATCTTTATTGCATCACACTTCTCAATGAAACTAGCATTTTTGCTTACATGACAATCATTGGGAGAATCTCCAAATGAATCGTTGGAGATAATCTTGTTAATTGTGGCATCAATTCGCAGCATTGACGGCTGGTCTAACAAAGCTAATTAGCTTAGTGATATTTGGTACACCATATTCCCACAAAGATGTAGCTGGTGGATCGGTCATTTCTCACTTCTTTTTTTCCTAATCTGTCTTTTCTACTCCCTTTTTTACATAGAGTAGCTTCAAATATCAAATAACAAGGGGCAATAGCCATATTAACTTATTAAATCATAAGCAAGTGATCCTAATATCATTAATCCCCGGCAACGATGCCAAAGTTTAATAGTCGTGTCAAACTCCTAACAAAAATTATGTTTTAACTAGACCTTCTAGTTTGTAATCAAAGGGTCGAATCTCAGACAAGATGAATTAAAATATTAAATTGACGAGTGACCAAATCAATGATCGAGACTAGTACTATCAATAAATAGGTTATTTGTGGCTGGTAAAATACAAAATTTCCTTATATTTATTTTTATATCATTATATTAAAGTAAAACATCTTTATTTTATACAAGTATATATGCCCTCCGTCCCTATATATAGTTCCCATTTTAATTTTTGGTGGTTCTAAATATAATTCCTTTTTCCTTATTTACCATTTAGTACTTTCTCCTCCCTTTTCTTAATTCCCGTGTTATGTTCTAAATGGAAACTATTTTTAGGGACGGAGGGAGTAATTTTTGACGTGATAAAATAAGAGAGGTATAAAACTAAATAAATTTTATGCCTTAAATTTTATAAATTACATTGAAAATCTTTTATTTCCTTTTACTATTTTCTATGAATGATGCTACACAAATTTCTTTATTTTGGCTTTTCTTTTGTGCAAATTCTCATTATTCTCACAGTGGCATAATAAAATTGGGAACAATGATTGGTTTAATGAAATAGTTTTTTCTACTTTTCAACAGGTGCAATACCCTGGATTAGAGCGGCTGATGGAGTTGGACATCACTATCATGTCTTTTGTCTCACATGTTGCTGCTTGGGTATGAACTACCTGTTATAATTACTGTACAACTCCCACAAATCAGTTGATTTCCTTGGAATTAGCAGTAAACTTGAAGCTTCTTATGTTGCAATATAAATTTCTTTGTGACAACAATAGTTGAATAATTATCTCAGTGAGGTAGATTGCTGTGGTCCTATATATTAAAGGTGTTGGAAAGCTTGTACTCCAACCTCATTGGTATTCAATTATATGTCTTTGCTGTTTTTATGAGGTAATCACCTACTGATAAGCACTACTCTACCTTTTGATTTTATTCATCATAAATAAGAATTACTCAAATTTGTTTTAATTTGATAATTTTTTTATTTTTTTTATTTTTTTTTTGGTGTTTAGAGAGCCACAAGGGCGGGTGATGAGAATCGATCAACTGGGAGTAAAGCTTTAACCACTTGAAATATAGTTTACTACGCCTAGGATTGATTAAAATTGCAAATTTGTTTACAAAATGGGGGGGGGGGGGAAGGATGTAGTGTAGGTATGTGCACGATTGTGGATGCCTATGCATTTGTGCATTGCCTTTCTTAATATCAGCTGCTTCTCTGAATTCATCTTTTAGAGAGAGGGATAGGGATAGGGGGAGAGAGAGCGCGGGGGGATATATATATATATATATATATATATATATATATATAGAGAGAGAGAGAGAGAGAGAGAGAGAGAGAGAGAGAGGGGTTTTGGATGCCTATGTATTTGTTCATGTACTTTAACATCAGAGTGCATTATGACCATTGCCTTCCTTGAATTGTTTAAAAAATGAGAACCTTTCGATTTGATCATACTATGCTTTCGTGTATGTGCATGTAAACCCATTGTTTAGCAAGTGGGAAGCTTTTTGAAATGTTACATGAATCCACATGTCTCAAGGATCTGCCTAATCTATACTAATATTTTAAAACAGGAACTTTTGCAAGTCATACAAAGTGCCATGTGGCATCTCCCTAATATCCATTTGTAATTACATAATTTATATTTTTTTTATTAATTTAAATGAAACCTTTTCATTTATGTCTTTTCATCATATAGTTAATTAGTTTTCTATTTCCTTGGATAAATGTACTCTTTTAATGTTTATTTATTTATTTTTTAAGGGAAATTCTTTCAATGTTTATTATGAATCTTAATAGCCTCCAATAATAGTTACTGAAAACTTCAGTTTCAAACTCTCATCCCAAATGATAGTCATTATAACTTAGAAATTCTCTTCTTTCTCCCCATTTTTGCATGTCGAAAATTTACTTTCCTTCCTATTTTTCTAATTTGAATTATACAACCTCACACCGCAATTGAGTTGTTTCCTTTTTTCCTACGAAGTATTTCTCTAATCTGAATTATACAACCTTACACTGCAATTGAGTCGATTAATTTTGTAAGACAATTTGGCCAAATTTTGTATCGATCAGTTTCACACTTTCATCAAATTTGTCACAAAAAGGTTTGTTTTCTCTATGTTTAACTCCCTCTTTTTTTTTCAATTTGCTATTTACAATTTTAATCTCAATTATTATAAATATTGTGATAAATTAAATTATTTGTATTGAGTATAAACCCTTTGTGTGTTTTTTAATATTATTTTTGCTAAAATTTGAAATAAATAGACAAAACCAAATTTTATTTGTTGGCAGAGTTACTTTTTTTGCTTAATGCAATTTGTATTACTTAATGTTACATATGATATGATGTATTTTTTTTCCCGTTAAGAATATATTGCATTACATTTATGTACATAGTATTACATTTTAATTTACTAAAAAAGTGCAATTTGTATTTACAAATGTTTTTGATTATCTTTTTTTTTTAAAAGTTTTTGATTTAAAAAGTCTAAATACATATATTTAGATAAAAAGATGATTTCGTGCATCGCACGGGCTAAATACTAGTTATTATTAAATGATAGTCTTAGGGCATGTGTGCCTAGGCACATTACCTTTCATTTTGTTAAAGTTTACTCAATTACTTAATAGTTACTAGGCTGTCCGTTTCTTTATATTTTTCCCTTCAATCTTCTGACACAATTATAAACCAATTTAAGTCCTTTTGCTCAACATCTCGTTATTGGCCTAGCTCATTTGTCTGATTCTAGTTTTCTTCAGATATTTCCAGAATTCAGATTTGGATGGATTCTTTCAATGTTTAAAGAGGCCGTTTCTGCGGAACTTGGTCAGTAGCATTTTTATGGTACATTGATTTCATGTGCTGCAAAATTAACATGTTTTCCTGTGGATGTATATCTTGATTAGCATTCTCAACTCTCTGCAAATGAGTGCGTGCTCATCAAATGACTAGAAAGCAAGATGTTATTCATTTGTTTTTCTGTCTGTTAAGGCTTATTACCTTTATGTTAACTCTTTTTACTGTCTGGTTACTCTGGTATATATGATTGATGGCATCTGAAACCTTTCTTATCTGTTTGCTTGGAAGGTTGGTAGATTTAGCTTAACACACTATCTTGTTTTATGTTATGGTAATAAGGTGAATGATGGTTACTGACAGGTCATGCTTTTATTGGAAATACCTCCTTCCCCAAAGAATTGTTACCAGTAGTATTAGACCACCTGTTCTGCCCATTCAAGGGGATAGATTTACAGTAGCTGTCTTTCTTTTGATATTGTGTATGCTGATGTATTTTTATCAATATGGTTTTTTCCATGTTAATGTAACTTTTCTTAAGATTTTAATCTCTACTTTTGTATGGGGCTTTAAAGATTTCATTCAGGAAGCAAGGAATTCTGAGAGGACTGCAAAGAATTTTAGAAACAACAAGAAAGTCAAGATCCCGCGAATTTTTTGGGTGCAAATCTTTCATTGTTGCTTGTGTTGTCTAGGCTGATATTTTTATTTTTTTTACTGTATCTTTGCATTGCATTATGAATATTGCAGTTTTTTTCTTGGCTTCTTGCTAAACAAATAATTCTACTGTTTATTCAGGATTTGACAACCAGCCAGGTATTGACCATGCAGTTTTGTTCGGGGCAAAAGGTAATCTATGTTAAACCTTTAAGTGGTGGAAATTATATGGCTGTATAACACTTTAACTGATAAACAATAAACTGGAGTCATAGTTTCTTTGATTTGGTGATTGAAAATCTTCCTTGTGGTCATTCAGAAATTATCTTAATGTAAGACAGAGGAAACTGAAAAAATAAGTGTAATTTACCAAATTCCTTATTGTGCAGAATAATACTGCATTTTACCATTTTAGCAACTTGGTTATCATTCTGGAACTACCTAAAGTTGAATGCAGGCAGTGATGGCCTGTTTGATACCTCGTCGGATGGTTTGCATCAGATTCAAGTGTTTGTTTTTATTGAAAATAATCAGCGGAATATACGACCTAATTTCAGGATCTCATATACACAATTAGCATGAATTTTAAAAACATTATATTATAAGATGCATGGATCTTCTGGCTGGTAGCTCTAACACAAACAAATAAATTCAATTGTTGCTCTAAGATTAGTATCCACATAGTATGATCGAACCGCAACAAATTGATCAACAAGGAGGAGAGTTTCTCAAACTCTTCTCTCACACACATCAAATGGCAGTAAAAGGATTCAATCTTATATTCAATTCAATCCCACACATAGGATGTCTAATTACCTTATTTAAAGATATGTTTGAATTTACAAACTAAGTTTGCTATTTTAAGGGAAGCCTAGTTTAAGTAAATCCTTCCTTCAAATAAGGTGGCCAGCTAGGCATTGCCTAGTACACAACCGTTGAGCCAATATTGTCAGTGGGTCCATGGAGAATGAACTCCGTAATTAATCATATATAGTTTAAGAAATGATAAAAATTGTGAATGAGTGGAGAAGTTTAGGAAAGAAAAAAAGGGAAATTATGGAAAACTAATGTGAATTCTTGTGAGGTGCTCCAGTGTTTATTTAGACAATTTAACTTCAGTCATTCCTTACCGTTTTAGTTAGAAGCTCTTCAGGTAGATGTAAATTTGTTTTAATTATAATTAGGAGTTACTAAATGCCACAATAAAATTACTCTAACTATGGTATTAAATGACCTTTTTACCTTATTAATTTATACTTTTTTCCTTTCTTTCTCATCCCTCATCCAATTTTTACACACACTGGTATGGCTTGCTGTTGAGTTTAGTAAGCTTTTTTCAGTCCAACTAAGTACTTTTTTTTGGGTTTGGGGGAAGTGAAAACAAGTTTGAGTTTAATCAGTCCATGATTGGGGGAACCTTGACTTCTTAATAATTAGATCCACACTTCTAACAAAATTCTCACCAAGATGATATCTTGGGGGTTTGTGCTTTAAATTTGTGAAAATAATATTGCTGTGTTGTCAGTTTAGCAGCCCATACTCACTACACAATATCAAATATTTGTGATTCAAGCCCGCTTGTGCCCACCTCGATTAATTCGGTCATGACAAGCCCTGATCACCCACACTCCATTGCCAATAGATTGGAGTGCCCATTGAGATACAAAGGCTCACTTGTGCTGGTTCGTGCTCAAAATCCCCACTTTCACGCAAGACTTGTGCTCATATCAACAAATAAGCAAGAGCATGGCGCACGATCGGTTGCCATTACACAAAGATACAAACTTGCATGAAGTGATTTAAGAGCTAAGCTAAGATAATCAAACCCTAACTTATGAACCATTAGTTGTAGGTCTTCGTATTTACATGGAAGACTTGAATTAAACGTAAAGTGTCAATTAATAATCATTAAGCGATTTTGAAAATAAACGGCAGCTTGAAGATCGACTCAAATGTGCACTTTCTATCAGGAGAGTTCACTAGTTTGTTTGTGTGTGAGTGTGCAATATATATATATATACATATATATATATATATATATATATATATATATATATATATATATATATATATATATATATATATTATCGTTTTGGAAAAAAAAAAAAAAAAAAAACTTGTAGTCACTAATAAAGCATATGCTGTTATATGGTGACTAAATTTAGCTCTTAACATAAAAGTGGGCCTCCCCTCCCCAATATCCTTATGCTAAATATCGGAAGATTGCTATATACTTCTAATGCATATTTTTCAAGTGCATGTACACCACGGAAACATTTATTTATGCTTGATGTATGGGCATCCATAGTTTTGTATATAAACATTATACTTATGTTACTTGCATATTTTGCTGTGTTGTGGAGTTTTTATGAGTCACCAAGTACTCATTGTGTTAGATTTCAGGTTGATGACCTGGAATTTCTGAAAAAAACAGGAATGGATCCAAGAAAGGTTTGCTCCTATGTCTTTTATTATTTGGCATCTTACTTTCGTGATTGGCAGACCAAGTTTTTACTCCGTATAAAAAGTCTAAATGAGCAGTGAAAGAGAGTAGTTGTTTGTCTGATTTTGATTCAGATTCTTTTGTTGAATTGAGTGAAATATATATTCCTGAGCCTTTGCTCAAACATCATTTCAGGTTGCGCAAGCTCTGGTTGAAGTTTTTGCTGATATGGTATTTATCCATGGCTTTGTTCATGGAGATCCACATCCTGGAAATATCTTAGTTTCTCCAAGTGGTCAGAATGACTTTACTTTGGGTATGTCATCTCTGTTTGCAGTTTGTGATTAGTTTTAGTTGTGATTTGTGAATCTTGTGATGCATTCTCGTACCATGGGAAAATTCCAGTTCTATTAGACCATGGAATGTACAAGGAACTAGATGAAGGATTCACAAGGAACTATTGTCGGTTATGGAAGGCATTGATTCTTCGTGATATGGATGAATTACTGCATACTGGTGAATCACTCGGTATTGGTAGTTATGCTATATATTTACCCATTATATTCACTGGGAGAACAATAAACAGGTAAATAAATTGTCTTTTCTGGTTTTTATTATGAAAAGTACATGTGTATGCTTCTTACAATCTGACATCCAACAATTTTTACGGTAACAATCTAACATCCAACAATAGTTGTTTATAGACCCATACTGTGTGTGATACTAGTGAGTAGTGACTTGTAACTCTAACCGACTCTTTAAATCGACCCTAACTTGATATTAACCAACAACTGATTTGACTCGATACTCATTTGAATCCAAACTTATGTCTGAACATGATATTAACCGACAATCAATTTGACCAAGCCTTACAATAATTTTAAACGAACCCGAACTGCTACTCTCCACTCTGTTGTGGTGTAAAGCAATGGCTTTTGATTGGAAATTTGGAATTATAACCCAACAAAGCTTATTATTGATTCTACTTGTTGTGACCCATAACTCGATTTTTTTCGACCACTCGTGAACCCTTCTCAAAACTAACTTGGAATCAGCTGTGGACCTGACCTAATTTTACTCAACCCAAAATAGTGAAACAAGTTATAATTAATCTTGAGTTTAATTTAATTACAGTTGTATTACGTTAAAAAAAGTATTTTATATTATCAATGTAATTGTTTTATTGATAAAAGTTCAAATTTTTTTTAATAACATGTTAATAACATTTGGTCGAATCATGGAAGGCGTAATTTTACAGGTTCGACTTAATTTAATCTTACCTACTCCCTCCGTATTTTAAAAAGTGTTACACTTTGATTGACACATAGTTTTAGGCAATTTAATTGACTTAAATCAAATAAGAGGTAAGTGGGGTAGTTGGAATATTAAAAAAATTATAAAAGAAAGATAGTGAGGTTAATTGTTTATTGAAAAATAATAAATGTGAGAGGAAAGAAATTATAAAAAAAAGTAGTTTTAGGTTTAGATAGGGACCATAAAAGAAGAAAGATATAATATTAAAATATAGCTTTTTACCAAAAAAGGAAATGTAACACTTATTAAAACACGGCCGCATTTGGTAACCATAACATTTATTAAAACACGGAGGGAGTGTCAAATATGACTTGAACCCAATCTACCATCATAAATCCGCTCCAACCTCGATTCAACACAATCTGTGCTTGAAATTAATTTTGAATAGGGCTTGACACAAATTGAATCCAACCTGCAACCAAAAGGCTAAATGACTTGGCATAATCCAAATCGAACTTGACCTAATCTGAGGCTAATTTGACTAGACCTAACTGTAGGGTTTTACGATGTTCTAAACACTGTCGCAAACCAAACCCCGGCCCGGACCCATGTATAATAAATACGATTAAGCACATAAATGCATAAAAACATAATTAAGGCAAGTTGATATACCTTTGTAGCGTGCTTCGCCTCGAACACGAACACGGACTTTGACCTTGAATCGGCACGCGAGCTAGAACCCAAAATGGATTCCTCCAACGCCTCACACTAGCAAGGTTAAAGTCTATAACGAAAATACTTCAGATGGAAGGAACGTTTCCGTTCTCCACATCTTCTTTGAACTTTTGGCATGACTTCTTGTAATGACCATATCCATTACAATAGAAACATTGCATCTTTCCTTTCTTGAAGCTTCTCTTCATAACACCCAGCTTGTGTGTAGCTCCACATGACAATGAATCGGCTCTACAAAGTAGTTGCACTTGCTCACCTAGTGAGTGTGCTTCTTTCTTGGCCAACATTTGCATTCTAAGCATATCATAGTCCGAGTGAAGTGAGCTAAATAGGATATGAGCCACCATTTCATCTTCAAGAGGAATTCCAAGTAGTTCCACGTGCTTAAAGAGCCTAGTCGTTTTGAGCACATGAGCTTGGAGAGGCATTCCGGGTCTAAGTCTAAACCCAAGGACCTTGGACCTTACTTGGTACATTTCCTTGGCTAGGAACCCTTCTCCGGAGCCTTGATTTTCATGTGAGACAATGACCTAGTCAAGTCATAAACATTCCCATCACAATTGCCACAGAGACTCTTCGTGCCCTCACATTGACAACATCCTCACGAGCCTTGAATAGTATGTCAGATGGGTACACGAGGAACTTCTTCTTCCAATCATTTGGAATAGAGTTCACCATGCTGAGTCCTTTAGTGTAGTAGCTTGGAAGGGGAGAATCCAAGACATACTCTAAGGAACTAATCCTTAGTGTCTTGTGAAGCTCTCCTTCCCACTCAAGAAAGTTTGTCAAATTCAAGTTGACCTTCAACTTGTTCAGAAGTTTTGGTATCATGTTGTTACTTGCAGACATTTTTTACTACAAATGAAAAGAAATGCAATGAATAACCATTCAGAATCCTAATAAGTTTGAACGAAAAGAATATTTGCAATTTTCAACTTATTAACGTTTTATTCACATATGCATAATTTGTGCCATAAAGCGAGAATTAAACGATTCTAAGATCCCAAAAACAATAAATGTTTAAGCATGCTTTGGCTTGTCTTAAAATTTATAATTTATAGGTAAGCAATTCAATTGCTAATAGTTTCAAACTACTTTTGGTTGATAAGTCATATCTAATGCACTTCATGACTTATCCTGTTTGCCACAACATCTAAGGACTCCTTACCGATATTGTTGAGTTTAACCAAAACTAACGCATATATCCAATATACTTTACTTCCCTAGAAAAATACAATGCGTGATTAAGCTCTAACCAACACCAGATCACTTGACTTTGAATCTTGCGTCTTTTTTTTTTTTTTTTTAGAATAAGCACATATCTCGTATAAAGAGCCTGATCTTTCCTTTGTTTTCTTATATATATATATGTGTGTGTGTGTGTGTGTGTGTGTGTGTGTGTGTATTCTGTTTTGATGAATTATTGAAAGCTTAGTTGTAGCTTCTCATTATTGTTAGTCAGTTTTCTTATATCTATGGACACAGTAAAGCAGGACTCGGAAGAGAGATTTCCAATGAAGAACGAAATATTGTCAAGCAGGAGCTCAAGGCTCTTACAATGGATGACATTTCATCATTCATGGAATCCTTGCCAGCTGCCTTTTTGACAATATTGCGTACAGAGTATGTGTCAAGTCTTTTTTTTTGTCATATCTACAGGCAATGATGCTGCAGTAACATTTTTAATCCCTTTTTTTTTTTTTTTTTTTTGCCAATTTCAGCGGCATTCTTAGATCTATACTCAGCAAATTAGGTACAACCCAAAGTGTTCGGATTCTAACCTATGCCAGATCTGCTATACATGGCCTTTCTCCAATCGAAGAATATGAGCATGGTAAAATTTAGAGCCATCTCAATACTTATTATTTATTAATGCATAGTCTTCTTTCCAGTTAGTAGTTAGAGTTGGTTATTCCCTGCCAATGCTTGTGAAAATTGTGATGGTATGATTTATATTATGCTCAGTTCTTGTCTTAGGGACGTTAAATTATCAGAACATTAAGTTAGTTGATTTTTTCTCAGGTTCTACACTGGATTTTTTCATCACCAGAATCAGGATTAAATATAGTTATCTTCAAATTAAATGCCTTCTTGGTAAGACTGCAATTACTACTTCCTTCAGTCAGACAATTGCCAAAATAGTTTCAATTGAGATGAAGTTATCTAAGAATTCATCCCTGTAGGTGTGCTGGGGCTGCTTTCATGGATTGAAGATATTAAACAGATATTAACTAAGAGCTTGAAGAGATTGCTGGCTACCGCCAGAAATCTATATCTGCCTCATGCAAACCACTGATTTCATGTTGTGTGCTTTTCGTCTGGATAATGGAGCTATTCTTTTGGTTTTGTTATAAGGTTTACTTTTTCATGTGAGTGGTTTCATCTCCACTTAGTTTTGCCAGCCCATGACTGGCAATATGTGGTGTTATGTGCCGTCCACAAGAGTATGAGTTCTGCAAAACTTTGGAAATGGCTATTGTGAATGAGCTTGAATTCATGTCTCTATATGCAGACTTCGTTCTCTTATTTCTCACAAACATTTTTATAATACATATTGAAATTGAAATCTTGCCTTACATATGGACGTATGGTTACTGGTTAGGTGGCCGGAATGTTTTTATATACTTTGTATAATTTTTTTTTAGAAAAAAAGTTGTCCTCCCAATATATAATATGTTGAGCTTAATGGCTCTTCAGGTTTACAGCAGGCAGCAGCAACTACATACAGTGCATAGCAATGTGAGAAATACAAAGCTGGTTCAAGCGAGCAAGCAACATACTGAACACAGACCTGTTTGATTTAGGTTGTTAGAGCTTGTTATCCACCACCTGTTTTGATAGGATATTTTGTTATATATATATTCATATATGTTACTGATGGTCTGATGTTATAGATAGGGTAGCAGGCAGCTGTGTTTTATGTATCTTTTGCCCATTCTGACCACAGTATTAAACTTTGTATGATTCAAGTAAATAAGAAAACTATCTTCTCCTATAAATGAAGAAATTATGCTCCAAAGTATCTTCACATTTCTTCCATGCCACGTTCTTTTGATCCTTAGTTCGATTCCAGCTGTCATATCTACCTTTGCTTATGGCCTCTTTCATCTCTATACTCATCTATAGTGTGTAGATTTTTTTGTACTTATTATGATTGAAGCTGTGGCGGTCAAGCCTAGATCCTAACATCTTACAATGTTTATGACAATAGTTTTGCCCTTTAGTTTTGGTAATTATATACTTCGTATGAAATTGAAGGGCAAGACAAATCAAAATCAAGCAAAATGTTATTATTAATGTGAAAACATAATTTTTTATGATATAAAACATTGAATTAGTTAAAAATCTCATAATGCATATTTTAATATCAACTTATTATAATTTTTATTAAAAGAGAATTAAAGATATCTATAGACAAATTTGTGAATTAGAATGTATGTCAATCAAAGTGATGTACCCATTTTAAAATGAAGAGAGTACCTTATTGAAAATAAAATAAAAATAAATAAAATAACGTAATTTTCTAAAAATTCCTTCTTTTTCTTTCCATTTATACTCTGCAAAACTCCATCGCCAATAATTTGAGAAAAACAATTTTTTAGGAAGAAGGGAGTAATTCTAAGTAATATTTTGGGATGAATAGAGACTAAAAATAAAATAAATAAATAGTCTCCTAAACCTAGCAATAAACCAGTAACTACGGTATACATGTTCTTGCATATACGATACACTACTCGTACTATCTTTTAACACAGTATGCTGCCCTGTATTTTAAGCTCACAATGCAAGATCAGAGTGCATCTCCTTCAACATTCAAGGACCAAAATAATAAACATAGGCAACACTAAGCATGACAGAAAAGTGTTCTAATTAATCAAGGCCATAAGCATGGAACTGCTAGCTTTCTGCAAAGCATAACGTCAGCCATATAGTGCACGCCATGGTTCCTTTTGTTTCACTGTTTCCCCAAGATTCAACTTGATCCGGTTCTTGATGAAGCACAACGAAAATGCACTTGCTAAACTCTCTCCTACTTCACAAAGTACCTATTAAGAAACAGATATCGGAGTTTATTATCAGCAAGCATAAATGAGAATAAAGCAAGTAGCAAGCCATTCATTAATCAAGGACTAATAGAACAGTTACACATAGCTTTTGATAAAGCCACTGTCAAGAGAAGCCTTAAATACAATTCCCAATTTTCTGGACAAATATTAAACAATCAAACTGCAACAAAGGCATACTTTAATAAAAACAAATCTAAAAAATCAGAAAGGGACTTTTGACTTCCAAGTTTATAAGAATTAAAGAGTCGTATCACCTTCAGAAAATGTCTTATCTTTGGCTGATAAGAGGATTCATTTAAATTTCCTTTATTTATTACATATTAATGAGTTGACAGTGACATACTACCTCCGTTTCATATTATTTGCAACTTTTGCCAAAATGGATGCTACACATTATTTGCAACAAATGTTTTCTTTTCTTTTTAAATTGTCATCTCTCTCTCTCTCTCGCTCTCTCTTTCTCTCCTCATTACATGCATCCTATTTTTCTCTCTCCATTTTACACTCACAAACAATTTTTTCCTAGGAGTCCGTGCATCCTCCAAAGTTACAAATAATATGACACGGAGGTAGTATAAAATGAGGTGAAGGCTTAAACTGAAAAAGTATAAAGGTAGCATTATGATATGTGAAACATTTATGATAATATTAGGGCTCGAGTATTAAGTACTGCTCTAATTTATTAAGGAGCTAAAATGAGTCGAGATACTGCCTATAATTAGACAGATCTCTAAAGTAAACCTGACATAGGCCAATACTCAATACCACAATTGCTTAGAAGGTAACTAGACATCTAGACAAGTTGCAAAAATGTCTATATTACTTGAACGAAGAATCTTTTGCATGGCAATTTACTGACTCAAAAGTATTATATCATCAGGCTAAGAAGCTAGACAATATGGATAAACAGGTGAAATGACAGTACCTCCTGCTCTTCATTCACGCCTCTTTTGCCAATAAGGACAGCAGTTGAAATATTAAAGAATTGGACTAGCTGAAGTAAGCAAGCCAATGGCTCATAAGTGATCTGCAAAGACAAAGGTGGCTTGTCGGCTTCTCGAATTATATCTTCTGTAAACTCTGTTGCTGGCCCCGTGTGGAAACCATACAGAGAAGACCTACTGTTGATAATGAATGAATTTTTATCTTCACACTTGAGCTTTGCTGCTGGCAGAATGTATGGGAGTATCAGACTCACAGTGGACGACAAGCGTTCACCACTTATTGACTTCAAGACCTCATTTACCACGCATGACAAAAGTGGGGGTTCATAATATTCCACAAGCAACAAAGAAACCTGTGGAAAAAAAGTGTAACATGCTGCAGATTACACATCTCTCAAGGGCATCAATAGTAATCATGCATTAGTTGAAATCTGACAGTGCCTTAGAATGCTGAAAATCTGGTAGTGCCTCAGTACCTTCAGGTGTTTTGGATTTGTTGTCTGAGCATGCAGCAGCATACGGTTCAAGTAATCAAAGTTTAGATGATTTGACTTAGAACAGAGAAGACAAAATATGCAGAGGAGGCACCCAAAAGTGCAAAACCAAATCTTATATATTTCTCTACCATATAATTAGAAAGAGAGTCGCAAAAAATTAGTTTTATCTCTAATCTTATCAATATTCCAACCCTTACCAATAATTACTAATAAATTGAAAAAAGAGGAAAATTCTTTCTTTCTCTAATGATTGACGATTCATCAAAACCATTGCAATCATTCTACAAAGTTGCACACCACAAATATGGGCTACTAAGGAAGCCTGTGATCTCATAGAAGGATACCATGAGCTGTTGCAGGGAATAAAAATTTGGTTCCTTGACGAGCTGGATCGCTTAAGAAATCAGTTTGGCACTTTATACACATTATTCAACATTGCAATAAGATCAATGTAAAGCCCTTTCTGACTTTACCGTGAATTCAGAAATTTTTTGTATGTAGACAGATGCAAAACAACAGTGAACATGAACTTTTAGACAAAAGTAAATTGGACTTCTATGGATTACTTAACATAAGCTCATAAGTGAGGACTAATCCATCAATCAACAATAGCAGCATACTAATTGCACAGCATCTTGTGATAATTCTGATGTAGTCAAACTTGATTAGGTTTTGACTTGAAACATAGTTGTTTGATTTTTATTTCAGAAATTTTTAATCACTTTCATTCTTAAACACAATTACAATGTAAAACAAATGGAACCGATCATCCACAATTGCTCATTGAGTTTTAAGGGGTCCTCTATGAATCACTAGAGTTTCAAGGCTTAAAGCTTAAGAAACAAACACTAAAGGCATTCCTGATTAATCAAGAATAGCAAAGAGACAAGTGCAAAATAGTCATGTAAAAACTATGATTGAATACAAGCTGCCATTAGTCCCACAGCAGAATGAGCTGAGTTCCTTGTGCTCCCATTGATAACCTGATCCAATCAGTTTATACTTCAATGAAGTTTGCGGCATGCACTTGGGAGTAGAGGGGAGTGTAAGGGAATCCCTACCCCCAAGTACCCTCACTTGGAAGGGTTCGAACCCCAGACCACTAGGATATGATGTAAGAGTCTTACCAAGTGAGCCAACACTTTGTTGGTAGGACATCTCTGATTGACACATATCTAACTTTAGCCATTAGACAACTACCGGCCTACCATTGGGACAATGATATATCGCAAATGTGATTATATATGTCAACCAATACTTAACTTAAGTCCTTAATTAAGTAGATGGAATATCAGTATTTCAGGTTCATAAAACATTCTTTTTTCCCTTCAATTGTCAATTACTCTTGTATTCCTTTACTAAACTACATCCTCAAAAATACTTTTGCTTGGGTTTGTTTACAACTAGTTTGGTAAAGATCACTCTAGATTCAAAATCCTTTCTTTTCTGCCACATCGAAATCATTTCAGATTATCATTTCAGATTATCCAAAAGATTGTGAAAAAATTATCTGTGTAATAGTCTAAGCGGCAAGTGGGAGATGTAAGTAACTTTTGCGAATTAACAAGATTTCTAGAAATCATTTGTTCCAAGTAACCTAATGATCTCCCACGAACTCGACCGCATAACTATACAAAAACTTGTCATTTAGAGCTGATTCAATAGCCCCGGAATAAAGGGGCTAAAGCAAATATTCACTAAACTATCAACTAATTCTTCAACGCTCCAAAGTAACATATCATTAGAAATTTCTAAAAATTCTATCAAGTGGTTTTAAAATTTAAACACCTTGAATTATCATTAAATAAATAATATCACAAAACAATTAAGAAACGAAAATACTACCTGCAACAAGTTATTGTTATCAAAAAAATTAGCGATGTTACCACATGCTTTTTGGTCTTTTATCCCATATTGCTCCAATGAAAGCTCAAAAGTTTCTTCTCTACATAATTTAAATCAGAATTTATCAGAAAAAAACCATCAAAACAAAAATAAAAATTAAAGATCTTTCCAAAAAAAAAACACATACGATCTTTGAAGAATGGAATCAGAGGTAGGCTGAAGAGAGTCGTAGATTGCGGCAGAGAAGCCCTCTGGATCCTTGACGAGGAATACCAACTTTGGTGCTACCTTCATTTTCTGGGTTGTTTCACTCTAGTGTTCAAGTGGAAAACAAGAGTATGAACAACTGAGGCAGTCAAAGACTATGGCCGTATTTGGTGAAAAGCTGGGTTCATGTTGGTATTCGTTCGTCCAGCACTGGGGCACGATTGGCATTTCAAGCCTTTATTAATGTATAAAAGACTATGGCTACTGCCGTGTTTGGTGAAAAGCGAAAAGCTTAATTATAGCTGAAATTGAAAAAATAATGAATAAAAAATAACTAACCAGTTATGGCGTGACATGTGTCACAATTTACCTATCAAATAGGTTACCAACCGGTTACATCCTATTTTGAGCAAATGCATGTTAAAGATCGTTTTATTCCTAAATAATCAAAAAGTCGTTTTATATTTGGAAGAACGCTGAAAGATCATATTATTCCTGATAGTTTTTTCCTACATTTAATGATTTTAGAACAAAGATAATCCGTTTATATTAAAATACAAATCCAAAAAAAAAATACAATTTTTTAAAGTAAAAAAAATACAAATGCAGCCTTACAAAAGTTAATACGAGTAATGATAAAATGTAGAGTGCAAAATCTAGCATACAATAAAATACATGTAAAAATTATAAATATTTTTACATGCAAAAAAATTGATGAATTATGTAAAGGGAGAAAAGTTGACACAAAAGTGATGGTGATTATCATGGTTGATGATTTATGTTTCCCGACAATCATGAAAAATGTTTTTTCGATGAACATGAAGAACATTTATAATTAAAAAATACATAATTGAATAATAAAAAAGAAGTTTTGTTAGTGTATGTATTTCTATAACCATTAAATGAATGAGTGTGTAATACCCCTAAATCTTCCTCTACGTAAATACTATATTTATACGTATACAAATACCGCAATGATAGAGTTGGGCGTATTACCGCCACGTGAAAACTTAAGCCTTATTTAATTACTCAAATTGGCAGCGGAAAATAACTGACTTTTATTATTAATAATAAAAATAATCACACTAATTGTTTCAAAATACTCCAATAAAAACTTGTCTACTCATAAATAAAAGTAACTCCTAACTAGGTGATCCCAATCTCGACTCTAGCATACGCACGGACAACTCCACACCTGAAATCAAGACTGCTTACCAATAATTGTAAACAGGGTGAGCCAAAAACAAAAAGGAAAAAGGATTAGCAAAAATGCTAAGTACATATAAGTGCAAGGCATGTAAATACTTTTATTAGACAAACATTTTTTTATTTTAAACTTGCCAAAAAGTCAATTTCCAAAATTAGACTTTCTGAATTTAGACTTTCCAAAATTAAACCTTCCAATAGTGGTAACATTTATTAATAGAAACCTTCCAAATTATAAATATTCCAATTTTAGACAAATTTCAAAAATCAATTTTCCTCACCTAAGCCTGCACAACCCCCAAGCAAGTTAAACTATACTCGAGGAAAGACCAGATCATGCAAAGCTCATGGTCTTACTTAACCAGTTCCGGGTAGAGGGACAATAAAATATTAAATACTCAGGCCCATAATGAGCTTCAAATTTTAAATTAAATCCTTTAATTCAATAACATGTAATCAAGTGATTTATAAACAACTTTTATGAAATAAATTAACACTTTTAAAGATCAAATCTTTAAGTCGTAAAATTATATTTTTAACTCATCGCAATATTTAACAACTATTAAAATAAACATTCACCAAAACACGCATTCAAAACTTGTATCAAGGACCTAGCCACCTATACGTTCCTTAGTCATGAGAAAAATAAGGTACGACTACTACACTTGACCACGATCAAGGGAATCCTCCTATACAAATAAAATAACCTTAATTAATATAAGGTTAACAAAATAAAAACAAAACTATAAATAATACTCTACCAGTGCATGAACTACCAAACTATTAACTTATAAACCAATCCTTTATATTAGATGTAGTAGTATCATAATGATAATATTAGTGTATTTTGCTAATTAGTGGCGGATCCAGGATTTGGGGAATTGGGGGTATGAAATGAAGTTCGATAAAAAAAAAGTAAATAAATAAAAAATTACAAAATAATATGTGAATTGCAATAATTTTTTCCTAACTAAATTTTGAGTTAATAAATCATAATTCATTTTACTTTGTATTAGTATTTGCGTGTACGATACAATCTGTCCTCCGACAACAAGTCTTATAATTGAGTAACTAAATGTCTTTGTGGGCTAAAAAAAGAGATTATCCAAGAGACCTGTTATTTGTAACAACAAGTATCTTTGATTGAAAAATACAAATCTGGAAAAATTAAAAGTATCCCCTTAAAGGTTAAGAGACCAATTTTTTTAAATAGGTTGTCTCTTTGAATTTAATACAAACAAAGATGGGCCGATTCGTTTTCTTGGCTAATTACATGACAGTAACTAAGAGACCACCTGTTAGAAACACGCGGTCTCTTTTTCCATCAGTTTCTTTTTTTCCGGAATGGGGGTACAGCTGTACCTCTGTGTACCCCCTAGATCCGCCACTGTTGCTAATAATAGATTCTTAGTACGTAAAATTAGTAAATTAAAACTATACTTTAAAGTAGTAGCATAATAGTATTAGCTTTAAAGTAGTAGTAAAAACAAGAAATAATAGATTCATAGTAGTATTATGGATACATAAAAAGGAAGGAGTCAAGTTGCAACAATGAGCAGAAGGGTGCGTAGCACCTGCGGCAACAATAGTGATATGGGTAGGCACAAGTTGATGGGAGAAGGGTAATGTATGGTCGGCAGAGATGGACAACAATAAGCTAAGTTGGCAGCAACAATGGTAGTGCGGTTACGGTGTTTGTTTGGGCAAACAAGAAAGAAGGAAATAGGGGGGAGAAGGTCATGAGTTGAGAATTAGAGAAGAGAGTTTTCTTATTTTGGTGTGAGGAATTTGTGAAGAATTGAGGGTCTATTTATAGTGTTTAGAAGGTGGAAAAGATAGAGTTGAAGGTATGATATGGTTACTAGAAAATATGATAAGTTTTGGGGTTTGTTAAAGTACTTGAATCAAATTGAATTTAGGTTAGTAGTTGGGTTAAAAGATGAGAAGAAATTTAGATAGGTACACATATGGTTGGAAGAAAGAAGATAGGAACAAAAATGGGATAATGAAGAAGAGGGTTAGAGGCTAAGTTAAAATATGATAAAATCATAAAATTATTCTTAAAACCATGGTTTCTTTTTTTTTTTTTTTTTTTTTTTTTTTGCCAGCTACACGTTTCACAATTTTTTTTTTTTTTTTTTTTTAAATCCTAACGAAAATCATTAATTAATTAGAAAATTAGTTAAATTTGATAATTAAATCAAGTTTATCATTAGAATACAACTATAAAATATTTTAGATAATATCAAAATCAAAATTAGTTGTAAATCATAAGATAATAATTAAGCTAAGGTTGTTAACTATTATTAATTAAGATAAAATCCGGAGAATATTGTAGTTAAGTTCAAAATGACGTACAACTTTAATAAAATATGGACCGACTAAGATCATAATTTAATTTAGAAATATGAAAATATTTAATTGTTCGAATAATTTTGGCGCCAAAATTTAAAATTTATTTTGGCTCCAATTCAAATAATTGAAGAAATTACTAAATAATTAAGAAAGTATTTCCAAAACTTAGGAGTATTACATAGTGAAACACATAAATTTATAGAGAGATTTTATAGGATTTGATTAGGTAAATTATTGATTTGGGGATGAGTTGATTGATTTATGGAGGGAATAATACCGTAATTAGGAAATTTGTGATTTTTATTGAAATAAGAGATTGATTTTACAAAATCACTAATCGAGGGAATTAATGAAATTTGTATCTTATTTAGGAAGCTATTTAATGTAATAGAAATTGATAATTATATCAGGGTCTTGATTGAATCAATTAAAGAAATATTTGATTAAAGATTGATCTGTTGCTTTCTTTTTAATTTACTCAATTATAAAGAGTAAACACAAATACAAGGTATTGATTTTTGCTATTAGTTGCAGATGAGGTACTGAGGTTTGGGGTGAAGCAAATAAGGTATTCAAACAAGTTATGACCTTCTACAACCAGTAATTCTAAAGTAAAATAAATAAATAAATAAATAAAATAAATAAATATTGGGAATTTCTCATTGGTAGCCATGTAAAATTGCATATTATCAATGGATTCAATGGTAACAAATTGTTTTACAAATTTTCTAAAATAGCATCACGCACTTTTGATAAGTTTCTCTAATATGACCGTATATTTGTAAAGAACAACTAATTAGCTTAATTTAACAATTTAACAAGAATTAAGTTAATAATTTGTCCCAAAAAAAAAAGTTAAAAATTAATATGTGTTTCGGGGTTTCTGTCCCTCGGGAGAGTTACGTCACCAAGACTGAATTCCGAGCGCCTGTACCTGCAAAACAACGGAGACTCCGGTTGGGTAGAGTTCCTCCTCCGACGATCAAGTTAGAACGTGTATGGAGAAAGTGAAAAGGTGCGGAAAGTAAAGTGAGATCTTCTCGGATTCCGAGATCAGGGGATTTCTTTGATGTGAGAGAATTGCTTATATTGTAATTAATGAATGTTTCCCAAAAATGGGGGAAACCTCCCTATTTATAGGGTCATTGGAAAATGTGCCCTTTCTTAGGTCATTCTGACCTAGATTTGGTGGCCTGCGCCTTTTTAAGGCTTTTTCGGGAATTGGGCCCTGAAGGCCGTCTTTTTCCCTTGCTGATTTCGAGTGCCACGTGTCAATTGGCGAGTGGACTTTATTGGACCTGTCTTGGGGTGACACGTGTCCCATTCTGATTGGGCCACGTGACATGGGTATTTTTACCCAAATAATTTGCCCCTCACAAGGGTGACGTGGCGTGCCGCATGGCGCCTGTGACACATGTCACTCTGGACTGGGTGAACGGTTTTTAACTGTTCACCTTATGGGGAAATTACAGGGATGCCCCTATTTTTTACCCCTCTATAAATAAGGTCTTACCCCCCGTTCCCCCTCATCTTTGACCCTTCTGAAAAAGTCTAGAGAGAGAAAAAGAGAAGATTTTAGAGAGAAAGACTTTGATAACCGTCTGCATTTGCCTTCACAAAATTTCCGTCTGCTTTTTTCGTTTGACATAGCCGGTCACCGCTTGAG